AATTGTATTCTGATTGACTGTCTATTTTGAATTTGAGTCACCAGTCATATCCCCAATTTCAAGTACCAGCATATTGTGTGTTACTTCAAAATCTACCGCTCCACTCTAGCCTCGGCCAAATCGTCCTTCTACTCCAGGATAATCCTGGAGGCGAAGAACAACCCCAGGCTACTGTTCTCTACCACATCCCAAATCCTCCGTCCCCCCCCGCCACCCCGCGCAGGTCATCTCCTCCAACCTTCACTGCGAGGAGATGCTGGATTTCCTTGAATCCAAGATCAAGGGAATCCGCTCCGCGGTCACTTCCCCTCCAACATCCACCCACCCCTTCCCTCCCACACTCCGACTCCTACCCATCCTCCCCTACACACCTTCGTACCCGTTTCCCCACCCTCTGTCACCAAACTCATCCTCTCCCTGAAACCTACCACCTGCTCCCTTGACCCCATCCCCACTCCACTCCTTATCTCTCAGCTCCACCTCCTTGCCCCACATATCACAGACATCGTCAACCTGTCCCTCTCCTCTGGCTCTATTCCCATTCCCTTAAAAACTGCCACCATCACTTCCACCTTAAAAAAACCCTCCCTTGATGCGTCGCAGCTATCAAGCTACCGGCCCATCTCCAACCTCCCCTTCCTATCCAAGGTCCTGGAACGAGTTGTCGCCTCCCAGCTGCGCTCTTTCCTCTCCAACCATTCACTATTCGAACCCCTTCAATCGGGTTTCCGTGCTGCCCATAGCACAGAAACTGCCCTGGTCAAGGTCACCAATGACATCCTGACCATCTGTGACCAGGGCTCCCTCTGCCTCCTCGTCCTCCTCGACCTATTGGCAGCATTCGATACGGTCGACCACGCTATCCTACTCCACCGCTTGTCCTCCCACCTAAACCTTCAAGGCCCTGTCCTTGAGTGGTTTAGGTCGTACCTCTCCCACCGTCTTCACTTTGTCTCCACAAACGGCTTCTCCTCCACACCCCGCACTGTCTCGTGCGGTGTCCCTCAAGGCTCTGTCCTCGGTCCCTCCTCTTCACCCTCTATATGCTCCCCCTTGGTGACATCCGCAGACATGGGGTTAACTTCCACATGTATGCGGATGACACCCAACTCTACCTTTCCTCCTCTACCCTCAACTCCACGACCACCGATGTCCTGACAGCCTGCCTGTCCGACATTGAGTCCTGGACGAGAGATAACTTTCTCCAGCTCAACGTACGCAAAACTGAGGCCCTCCTGATTGGCTCACGTCAGCGCCTCCGCACCTCAGGCGCTGACAGCATCAGCATCCAAGGCTGCACTCTCCACCTCTCAAAGCCAATCAGGAACCTCGGGTTTCTGTTCGACCCTGAGCTGTCCTTTCTCCCTCACATCCGCACCACAACTGGCACCGCCTTCCATCACCTCCGGAACATCGCCAGACTACGGCACTACCTCACCCCTCACGCTGCTGAAACTCTGGTCCACGCCTTTATCACCTCAAGGCTGGACTATGGGAACTCTCTCCTCGCCGGCCTTCCCGGCACCTCCCTCCACAAGCTGCAGGTCATTCAGAACTCTGCAGCTCGTGTACTGTCCCGCACCAGGCTTCGCGACCACATCACTCCCACCCTCGCTCGCCTCCACTGGCTCCCCATCCCCCAGAGGATCGAATTCAAGATCCTCACCCTCACCTACAAGGCCATTCACGGCCTTGCTCCCTCCTACCTCTCCGACCTACTATCCCCCTACTTACCTGCCCGTACCCTCCGTTCCTCTGGCTCCGGTCTGCTCCACATCCCCCGCCCCAACCGCCCTACCATTGGTGGCCGGGCCTTCAGCCTCTCAGCCCCGAGGCTCTGGAACTCTATCCCCCAGTGCCTTCGCCGCCTCCTCCCTTTCCTCCTTCAAGGCCGGTCTCAAGACCTTTCTCTTTGACTGTGCCTTCAGCTCCCCTCTGGACTCTCTACCCCCTCCTCACTCTCTCCCTTCCCTCCCCTCACCCTGACCATTTCCCCCCTGCTCGGGTCCTGACCCAACTGTACAGCGCCTTGGGACGTCCTCCCGACGTGAAAGGCGCTCAATAAATGGAATCATGTTGTTGTTACTTGTGTTTTAAAGAGATCCAGTCAAAATTCTAATTAATCGTTCTGCAAACATTTTTACTGCAAATGTTATCTTAAGCCACAAAAGTAAATGCAGTAGAATCAACCCTCGCTATATGCTAAATGCTACTTTTCAGTAATAAAAATGTATCCTGCACACCAACCAACTGTGGAACTATGGGGTTAACTTGGTTCAATTAGAAGTTTGGGCCATTGCTTTTCCAGTAAAATAAAATGGCAATAAACAGTTGATGCCTTTCTTGACGCCTGACTCACAATCCAATATTTTTATTTTTGTCACCTCCTTAATCACTGTGCAGAACTCACTTATTCCTCGACCTTTTGGAAGCTCCTATTTCAAAATCATCAGCTGCTTTATAATTTACAACAGGAGTTCCTTTCATACCTCATCCGGCTTCAACGGTGTACAATACTACAATGCTGAGAAAAAGATTTTCTTCAGAAAATCATAACTACTTTCTTAGTTAGCCCTTGGCAAGTTACTTCAAAGCAATAGGTTTCTTTTACTTTCCTTTCTGAGCACTTACCATCATTAGCAATGATTATTTTAGAACCCAGTCAAATATGCCCTGGGCCCAAATCACTTCAGTAAGCATACATTTGAATACTGTTTTTAAACTGCACATTTGACAGCAAAACTTCCAATGTTAACTGTAATATTGTCTCGATTTTGGCTGCAAATCACTGCCAAACATGCACGATAAATGGGTATCTGAGAGTATGAATCATAGCGAACGCCTCACTTCTGACACAACTTGAAGCAGGCATTTCATGAAGATTGCGCTTTGACCAAAGCAGTATAAATGTTACGGATATGAAACACATTTGCTTGAATTCACAAGGTTGATAGCCCAGGAATGTAAAACAAATTGTGTTTCCCCTTTATTAAAAGAGCCAATTGTGCGACCAGCTCTTTAATAACGTGGAAAAACAAGATTTTGGTGCTCTGCACAAAATTATGCATTTGTTTTTTCCAGTGCTTATTACACTACTACCCGCTGCCTCCAATCAACTGGCTACGGCTCCCAGACTCCATGGGCGGCCGTGCTTTCAGCCATTACGTGACGAAGCTGTAGAACTCTTTCCCTCAACCCCTTCACCTCGGCCCCTCTCTCCCTACTTTCTGGTCGTGCTTGAAGACCTTCCTCTTCGACCGTGCCTATGGTCACCTTCTCCCTCCCCGGCATCGGCCTGTTAACTGTGCCGAAGTGCCATCCGGCATGAAGGGCGCTATATAAATGCAAGTTGTTGTTGCTGTCCCACCTGAAAATCTTCCTTTTCGACCGTGCTTATTATCACCTTCCCCCCACCCCGGTTCAGAGTCAGGCGCTGCCACTGTTAAGCGCTCTGAGACACTACCCTGAGTGGAGGGTGCTATGTAAGTGCAAGTTGTTGTTGAAAGAGATGTGCAGCAGGCAATAGAAACCCAGGTTTTTGCTCCACATTGCCTAAGTGCCTGAAGCAAAGCAGATTCACTTCCCACCGTATAACTGTAGCAAAAGGTGGCATTTAATCCTCTAACATACACCATCATTGGAGCACAAGGTAGAAGTTTCCTCTCAATTCCTCTGACAACAAGATCCAAACTGCGGCTGGTCTCGGCAATTTTCCTAGCAATCAGCAAAAGAAAACTACTGCCCTGGAGCATATCTGCTTTCTCTGTTAAGAATGCTGCATAGTACATAACATGTACTATAGTGAATTGAGTGAATGAAAAAGGAGGGGAAAAATGGGATAAATAATTTGGAGGTGGTCTACACATTGAACAGCAACTTGCATTTATTTAGTGCCCTTCATGTTGGAGTGCATTCAATATGCAGTAAAACTCACGTAGGTCCTATCTTTATAAATTGTTTAATCGTCAAAGTCATACATTCACCTGAGTCCCATCCCATTCAGTTTTCCATCAAAATAACTTAGATTTCTTTGCGCTACTCATAATAAAAACACCACCAAACTCATAACACCGCTCCCCTACCCTCCATTACTGCCACACTTACCGGCTGAATTGAATCATAAGAAATGACATCCTGACCCGTCGACGCATTCGTACTTACCACCCAGCAGCATTGAATTATGCATGAACAATGTAGATTATTGATTAAATCGGATTTTATACGACTTATACAATTTCCATGCAACTCGGACTTCATGTAAGTCATATTAAATGGTAAAGTCCCGAATAATCCTACTTAGAAGAGTTTTATTGTATTTCTAACATAATGCTGTAAATTGATCCACATAGGCTTGCCTCGTGTCTTTACAATAAAAATAAAACATACATTGTTGTGGTGCCTTTAAAGATATAATAAAATGATGAGTACTTTATAAAATATAACTGATTAGAATTGCAGTGAATATTGTTATGTAGGAAAAAACAGCAGCTTCTCTGCCAGCAACATTCTATAAAGAGATGTATAGCCAATTAAGTTGAATTTGGGTAAATTTGGATCAGGATGCGAATACGAAACAGGTTAACCAGGAGAATGGTTACATATTTCTTTAAAATTGTAGTGGCAGGCCTTTTCCACCCATCTGAACCACAGGCAAACTGTAACTAAAAAAATAAATAATATTGGTATCACATGATTAGAGTTACACCAAGGTTACACCAAGCTTCTAATCAGGTCATAGATGAAACAAAACATTTTTAGACAATATCCTAAAAGGCTACTGCAGTAGACAACACTAAAATCAGCTAGAACAAATCAACACCAATTCATATTCTTTGACATCTCAACAAATGATATGGTTGAAATGTTCCAACTACATGGCCTAAATTTCAGTCATTATTTTTGACAAGCCGTTGAAACATTTAGGTGGCATTTTGCTGGTAGCTAACAAACTTATCAAAAACAATTTAGGAATGTGTTTCTCATGGCAGCAAATCACCTACCGCTGACACTCTGCAGCATGCAGAATTAGGTCTTCATTATTCTTCGCACTAATGGTCAGTTCATGCTCGGTTGAATTGTAGACATCCAAGAGTAGGTGGCATTGCCGGGTGCTGTTGGAACACAATACATTAAACAAGTTTAAAGGCATCTTAGAAGTAAAAATATTTTGTGGCGTAAACAAGTAAGAAATTAATTACCAAAATAGATTATTTTGCACAAAATGAAATTCATCCATAAAATATACCTTTAATTGTGTTACCTATGAGTGGGGAACCTCCCCTTTAGATTCAAAATATCAAATCACAATCTTAATTTTTTCCTCTCTTTGGAAGAAAAGGCCAACATAACCTATAAAAAGTACACTTTCATAACTAACTGAAGACTGAAGAGAATACGCAAATGCAAGGATTATTATTTTATTATTACTGAAACAAGGAGCAAACCCTTACCCAGAGGCCACCCTTACATTTTTGTGGAGTCCTGTAGCTCAGTGGTTAGAGCACTCGCTTTGCAAGTGAGAGACCTGAGTTCAATTCCAGGCAGAGGGCGAAACCTTGGGCAAGTTTCCTTACTCCACACAGAGCCTAATAATAATCCCTCCAAAACCAAAAACAATAATAAATTGGTCATTTTCAATCCACGACTGTTTGTGGGACATTGCTGTGCGCAATTGGCTGCCGCGTTCGCCCACAAATATACAGTCAATTCACTTTACAGTGTGTTCTGTGAAGCGCTTTGGGACGTCCTCCTGACGTGAAAAGCGCTATATCAAATGCAAGGATTATTATTATTATTATTATTATTATTATAAAGGCCACTTTAGTCCAATCCCCTGAGTGATTGCTGAAAATGGGTTTGACAGTAGTTATTTAATAATGACCCTCAGTGTTCTTCCTTTTAGCCAATTCTGAATCCATGTCCAACCTTGCCTTCGTTACCAAGTGATCTCATCTTCATGCATGCCTCATCATTTCAGCAGAAAAAAAGCCAAGTGAATCTAAAAGTTTATTGACAACAACTTGCATTTATACAAAATCATTCATGTAAAAGAATATCTCGAAGACCTCGATGAATATAGTAGTGGGCACCGAGCAGGGAAATAAGAGACTTAAATATCCTGGAGAAAGATGTGGTTGACAAAATGTTATTTGGAGATTTTTAAAGGCAGGAAAGAATAGCAACACAATATATGTTATGTAATATTTAGAAAACAATATTGAGGGTTTCAATAGTTCAATGAGTAAAAATGTGCTGTGATCTGGTTTTGAGCCATGTAAGAGCTTCCCAGGTTCAATTCCCAGTATCTCTAGACTGATTTCACATGGGATAGCAGTTGCAGACAATTTGCCTCAGCATCCCCAGGAGAGGAATATCAAAATATGAGCCAGATTCACTCACAACTCACCATCCTCAGGAGAGGAGTAAGAGAAGAAAATTGGAAAATTATTTTAAAATTCAGGTACTGCCATAAAAATAAATTGCAGGAGCAGGAACAAATTAAAGAGGCAACAATTCTGCCTCCAAATTAACGTGCCGAATGGGCACACAGTGCTAGGTTAGCACAGACCTGCTATTCTTTCCTCAGTGAATTGATGCATTGTAATTCTTTGCAATGGTTCTAAGTATTAATGGTGAAACTCGCGGTTATGGGGTAGTATTTAGAATCTTATCTAGAGTCTAGAATCTAAAAGATGGTTACCTGATGATTTGATAAGAAAGATGGCGTATATTGATTTATTAATTTCCATATCATTTAACAAGTTATTGAATTAAAATTCTGAAGTCAATTTCAAATGCATGTTATTGTAATTAGTGTGGTTTCCTCTTACATACAGGAATGATAGGTATAGCAGTTTGCCATTTTGATTGTTTTTTTTCCAAAAAAACTATCGGCAACTCGTGTCTTTGCAATAATTTCATTATAAGCTACGTTTCTTTTTCTTGCACATGGACAACATTGATCACTGTCATAAATACCATTTTTTGATGAAAAAAAATTCTCCCAAACAAATAAAATCAGTTTTGGCTTCCAAGATAATCATGCATTGTCAGCTAATTCTCAGACTCACAGATGACCTCTGAAACCTGCAATCTTAGCTTGGTGCTATTTGTGTACAATATAGCTCAAGATGCATCTTTAGCGCCCAAAACAATTATTTGCAACCAGAATTACTCGCATTCATTGTTGTAAATCCAAGAATGAAGGAGCTATGTTTTTGTTAAAATCTTTACCCAAGATTTTCTGTTAGTTAACAAAAAAAAACTAACTGATTTTTTTGTTCATAAAAACAACAACTTGGATTTATATAGCGCCCTCCACGCCGGACGGCGTCTCAGAGCTCTTCACAGTAACGGATCCCGGTGCCGAGCCAGGGGAGGGGGAGAAAGGTGGCCAAAGGCACGGTTGAAAAGAAAGGTCTTCGGCAGAGACCTGAAAATAGGAAGAGAAGGGAGTGAGGCGAAGGGAGTGAGGGAGCGAGTTCCAGAGTCTCGGGGCATAGTGGCTGAAGGCACAGCCGCCGAGGGTGGAGAGGAGAACTCGGGGGACGAGGAGGAGGCCAGACCCGGAGGAAGAAAGGCAACGGGCACTGTTGTGAGGAGAGAGGTCAGAGAGGTAGGGGGGTGCAGAGGAGTGGAGGGATTTGAAGACAAGGATGAGAATCTTGAAGTCGATCCTCTCTGGGACAGGGAGCCAGTGCAGTCTGGCAAGGATTGGGGTGATGGGGAGAGGAGTTTGGTGCGGGTGAGAATGCAGGCGGCAGAGTTTTGAATAATCTGGATTTTGTGGATGGTAGTGGAGGGGAGGCCGGCGAGGAATGCGGTAGAATAGTCCAGCCGAGAGGTGACAAAGGCATGGACCAGGGTTTCAGCGGCTTTCGGAGAGACGTATTGGCGGAGACGGGCAATGAGTCGGAGGTGGAAGAAGGCGGTGCTGGTGAGGGACCGGATGTGGGGGAGGAAGGATAATTGGGGGTCGAACCTGACGCTTAGGTGCGTACGGGTTCGGAGAGTTTTAAGGGGAGGTCGGGTAGGTGGAGGAGGTGAGAGCCGTGAGATTTTAGATGTTGACGAGAGTCAAAGAGTATGGCTTCCGTCTTGTCAACATTCAGCTGAAGGAAGTTTGCGCTCATCCAGCCACTGAGGTCTGACAGGCAGGCTGACAGAACATCAGGGGACTGGGGGTCACAAAGAGAGGTGGAAAAATTGAGTTGGGTGTTGTCCGCATACATGTGGAAATGTACCCCATGTCTGCGGATGACATCCCCAGAGGGAGCATGTAGATCAGAAAGAGGAGGGGGCCAAGGATGGATCCTTGGGGTACCCCGCAGGTAACCGGGTGAGTGCGGGAGGAGAAGCCTTTTGTGCTGATGTAATGCTGGCGGTTTGTGAGGTAGGACTCGAACCAGGCAAGTGCAGTCCCACTGAGGTGGATGATGGAGGAAAGGCGGTGGAGGAGGATGGCCTGATCGACTGTGTCAAACGCGGCGGAGAGGTCCAGGAGGACAAGGAGGCAGAGGGAGCCCTGGTCACAGATAGAGAGGATGTCGTTTGTGACTTTCACAAGCGTAGTCTCTGTACTGTGGGCAGGGTGGAAACTGGACTGGAGGGGTTCGAAGAGGGAGTGGGAGGAGAGGTGTGCGCGAAGTTGATTGGCAACAACACATTCTAGGATTTTTGCGAGGAAGGGCAGGTTAGAAATAGGGAGGTAGTGGCTGGAGTTTGAGGGATCTAGGGAAGGTATTTTGAGGAGGGGGGTGATGACAGCAGCTTTGAGGGGGGCAGGGACTGATCCAGAGGAGAGGGACTGGTTGATGACGTCAGCCAGTAGTGGGCAGAGGAGGGGGAGCTGGGTGACCAGCAAGTTGGTGGGGAGGGGGTCGAGGCAGCAGATGGTGGGTTTGATAGAGGTGATGGTAGGTGAGAGGGAGAGATGGGGAGGAAGTAATGTAGGATGGGGGTGGTGGTAGGAGCAGATGATGGGGAGGGTGAGGGGGACAGAGAGGGCGTGGTGGTGGCTGACAAGAGGCAGGTGGATGAGGCTGCCTAGCAGATGTTAAGTATTTTAGAAGAGAAGAAGCCCATGAGCTCTTCGCACTTGGCATTTGATATATAGAGATTGAGGAGGCTTGAGGGGGGCACGAAGGAGGTAGTGGGTGGTGGAAAAAAGGATTTTAGGGTTGTGTTTAGCCTCCAAGATGATATTGGAGTAGAAGGCCATGTTTGTGCTTGTCAAAGAATGACGGTAGCTGTGGAGATGCTCGAGCCACAATTGGCGGTGAACTGTCAGGCCAGTTTTCTGCCATCTGCGCTCGAGCAGCCGGGTTTGGGTTTTTTGGCGGCAGAGATGGCTGTTGTACCGGGGGGGTCGGGTGGGTTTGGAGATGGTCCTGGATTTCAGGGGGACGAGGGAGTTGAAGGTGGAAGAAAGGCGATCATGGAGCAGCTGGATGGCTGCTTCAGGATCTCCGCGGGTCGAAGACCAGAAGGATAGGATGTTTGATGATGTGAGGGCCTTTGTGAGGGTCTCAGGGGTGGCCTTTTCCAAGGGCGGTAGAGGGTTGAGGGCTTGGTGGAGGAGAGAGGGACGTGAGAGGAGAAGGAGATGAGGAAGTGGTCCTAGATGGACTTGACCACTATGCTGAGGTCGGAAATATCAAGGCCGTGGGTGATAGCAAAGTCAAGGGCATGACCACGGTTGGGGGTGGGTGAGTTTATATGAAGGGTGAGGTTTAGGGAGGAGAGGAGGGCAGTGAAGTCGGCAGAAGTAGTGCAAGGGGAGTTTAGGTGGAGGTTGAAATTGCCCATTATGAACAGGCACTCAGAGCAGAGGGACAGGGAAGAGAGGAGAGTCGAGATATCTGTGTGGAAGGAGCTGGGTGGCTTAGGCGGGTGGTAAACAAGGAGGATTTTCAATGGGAGAGAGGGATGGAAGAGGGTGAGGTGCTCGAAGGAGGGGAAGCAGCCAGAAGAGTAGGGGGTAAGACTAAGGGAGGCTTTGGAAATGAAGGCCACCCCGCCGCCACGTTGGTTTGGACGGGGGTTGTGGTGGAAGGTGTAGCCTGGTGGGGAGGCTTCCACTAGGGAACGGGGTCATTGGGGGAGAGCCAGG